TGTGTAGCCATTCTCAGGGAGGATACATCCTTCCTACTCAAAGTAGTCTACTGACTAGCATCATTGATATCACCTAGGTGATTGTGAGACAGCTCAGGTTTGACTCCCAGAACCCACATGGCAACTTGTGGTCATCTGAAATTCTAGTTCCAGGGGATCCAATCCCCTTCTTCTGGTCTCTATGGGTATAAGGCATACACATAGATATATTAGGTACTCAGAAACCAAAAAATAAAAATAATATTTTTTTAAAAAAGAAACACTGAATAGATTGATAAGGGAGTGTGTGATCACCTATTGATGGGGGATGTTCTTCTGAATTCTGTGAATATAGGCTTCTCTTATTGGTTGGTGAATGAATGCTGATTGGCCATTAGCCAGGCAGGAAGTACAGGCAGGGCTACCAGACTAGGAGAAGGCTGGGAAGAGGAATGCAGTGAGACCAGGGGAGATGCCATGTAGCCGCTGAAGGAGTAATGTGCTAGAGCATTACAGGTAGGCCACAGCCTTGTGGCAATACATAGTTTAATAGAAATGGGTTAATAATTAAGAGAGAGACAGCCAATAGAAATCTGAGTCATCAGCCAAACAGTTTATAATTAATATAAGCCTCTGTATGTTTATTTGGAACTAAACAGCTGTGGGACCAGGCTAGGACAGAAACTTCCTTCATTAACCCAAGGTTTATTTATCACAATATTACCTATTATGTTATAATTTATCATAATATGCTAGGAGAAACAAATATTAGATGTTCAGTCTGTGATATTGAGTATGCAGACTCAATGAATTTTTCTTAATTTAATTTAGAGCTTAAATTCTTTTCCACATGATTTATAATCCTCTACACTCAGTTGTAATTTCATGCTATACCCTAAGCATCCTCACTTTGTGTGCTCAAAATCTATAGTGTATCCTCACTAGCATATTTAGTGCTAAACATTGTACTTATGTAACTAGTTGTTTTCATAACCTAGTCCAGTTGGTATAATTCTATTCTTATGAACACAATTTAAAAGAAATTCCCAAGTTGATGTTAATCTTGTTAATTTGTTGAGATTTAGGATTACCATGGAGTCAAATCTCTGACTTTTCTGTGATGGATCCTAGACTCAGTTAACTGTAGTAGGTAGACCAGTCTCACATCCAGCTCAAATAAAAAGGAGAAAGGATGTCTGGCTTTTGTCGCTTGTTGCTTCTTAATAGTGGATGCAACAGGAATAGCTGCTTCAAGCTCCTGTTGCTATGATTTCCAAGCCATGATAAATGGTACTCTGGAACTGTGAGCAAAATAAACACTTCCCTTTTAAAAGCTGCCTTTGTTAGGGTATTGCTGTCTTAACCACAAGACGATTAATACAGAAAATTGGGAGTAGGAGTGGGGTTGTTGCTGCCATAACCTGAGCATGTGGTTCTTAGGCCTTTGGAATGAAATTGTGGGAGAAATGTGTAAAAGTTTGGAACTTTGGGTTAGAGTTGATGAGGTGAAAAGAGCCATTCTGGTAGAGTTAAGAAGACCACAGGAAGAAAGATGTGGGTCGTGGAGGTCTGACTTCTGAGGCATCAGAAGAGGACAGGACCTCTGTTGGAAGCAAGGCTAGAAGACATTCATGTTATACTCAGGCAAAGAATCCAGCTGCATTCTGCACATGTCCCCAGGAAGTTAATGAAGTGGAATATAAAAACAATTGATTAGCCAAGCATAGTGTACTACACCTTTAATCTTAGCACCCAGAAAGCAAAGGCGAGTGGATATCTTATGAGTTCAAGGCCAGCTTGGTCTACACAGAGAGTTCCAGTCCAGTCAGGGCTTCAGAGTGAGACCCTGTCTCAAAACAATAACAACTTCAACCACCAACACCATCAACAAAGCAACAAACAAACATACAATGACTAATGTGTTTGGTAGAGGGAATTTCAAGGCAGGCTAGCATTTACCCTGTGGCATGGTTTTTGTCCGTCACACTTATCTGTGTCTGTAGTAAAAAAGAGCAACAGGTGAGCAGAATATTTTTTAATGAATAGTTTGTCAACTAAAAGAGATTGGGAAAGTTTAAGTTGCAGTCAAGGCACAAACTAAAAACAAGGCTTAGCTGTTCAAGAGAAATCATCTGCTCTTCACTAGGACAATAGAAAAATGCCATGAGGGCAAGACTGTACCATCAAAGGCCTCAGATTTTGATGGAAAGCAAAAAATCAAGTGTAGGCTGCTCTAGCCGTGGTCCAAGGAGGCAAGTCTCCAAGCTGAGCTGACAGTCGAACTAAGAAGCATCATTTATATGGCACTAGTTGGGTAGGCATGTAAGATGGAGATCATAGAGTTTTATACTAGTTTCAGAGAGCAACTGAGCCTAGGCAATATTGCAGGGTTGGAGTCCCTGAGAGGCTGTTGTGTGAAAATAAAAGTGAAGTCCAAGCTGCAGCAGAGACCCCAGGATGTTGGAGATGCCAGAACCATGGGATGTCTGCCAAAGATGCATGCATGGAATGGGACTGACTCAAGAGAAGGGCTGTGAGGCTGGAGAGATGGCCGAGTGGTTAACAGCACTCTAGCAGAGGACCTGAGTTCGGTTCCCAGACCTGTGTGACAGTTCACAACTGTCTGGATCATTCTAGAGGATCCAATGTCTTCTGTCTTCTGCCAGCACTACAAGCATATATGAGATACACTTGGATATATGCAGGCAAAACACTCATACACACAATAAAGAAATGAAACTTTCTTTTAAAGAGATTCTTTGTGTTCTGCAGGCAGCAGAGCAGGAGGGGCAGGGCAACCCAGGCCTTTTAGAGCCCAGAATATTTCATCATGAGCTGTAGATGCCTGACATGGAGTAGGGAAATAGGGTGTTTGTTGTGCTGCCATTTGGTCTGCTTTGGTCTGCTATTTCCTTATTTCTCCCTTTTGGAATGAGAACGTTCACTCTGTGCCTTCATATATTGGGACTATGTAATACCCTTTCTGTTTTATAGGGGCCCAGAGTTAAGAGATTGCCTTAGTCTCAGAAAAAAACACTTTGAATAGTATTGGAGCTGTCAAAGATTATGGGGACTTTTGAAGTTGAACTAAAAACATCTGCATTCAGAGATGGCTGTGATCCTATGGAAACATGAGGTGGAAGGTAATTATTTCAAAGAAAATTGTCAAAGGGTAGAGTTTTGAAGATTAATTTTGTGAACTGGACATATTTGGGAGTGATTTTCTAGATTAAGTTAACTAAAGTGGAAAAACCCACACTAACTTTCCAACCACATACAAATGAAAAAAGGAGGCCCTAGTATTTATCTCTCTTTGCTTCCTGTCTGCAGATACAATCTTCCTGCCTGCCTCCCTCAGGTCCTGTTGCCTTAAATCCCCTGCCTCAGGTCCTGCTGCCATAAATCCCCTGCCTCAGATCCTACTGCCATAAATCCCTGCCATGATGGGCTATGAAACTGTGAGCTAAAATGAACCCTTCCTTAAATTGCTTGTGCAAAGGTATTGCCACAGCATAGGACAAGTAACTAATTCACCAAGTGGGCACACCACAACACAGAAACATATAGGGCATGCCTTAAATTCATCTTTGCTAACCATTACCCTGCTAGTCAGTATTACCCAGAATTCCCTCAAATGTTATTCTGGCCCTTCCAAATCTGTCTCCATACATCAAAGTGGCTTACTTGTCCGTTTCCCCATTCCTTTCTTTCTTCACAAATATTCCATACCCTGTATTTGCTTTGACCTCTAAGTGTTTCTGTGTAGGGTTAAAAAAATATCTACCTTACCACTTTATCTTTGTATCTTTGTGATAGCAAGGCTTTATTTAAAATAAACAATAAGCTTTTCAGTTTTAAAATTCTTTGATTTCATGTATCATAGCCAAATTTACTCAGGATATATGCTAGAAAATTAGTCTAAATAAAATTAAATTGAATTAGTGCCAAAAACCATTCTAAGTAAAATCCTGAAGTTAGCAACACACACACACACACACACACACACACACACACACACACACACACACACACACACACACACACCTCTGCTGTCTGGTCAGCTTTAAGGACTGGCACTTCATAACATTCCAGCGTTTTGAAGCTGTTACATGTATTACAAACGGGTTTGTCTTACTTTTTTTTTTTTAAAGCCCCTCCTTTGTGTAAAGGCAAACAGAAATCCTTCAAACTGTATTAAGTCGTGAGACAGAAAGAGTGAAAGCTTGAGTAAAATTGCCTTCTAATGTCAACATGGAACCGATCCCCAGAGACATGGGGAATCTGAGAGCACCCTGTCAATGTCAACCTGATCCTGTACATCGGTGGGAATTCGTAGTGTCTTTTAGAGACCACCCTTCGTGTGATTTAGATTTCTACCCAAAACTGGATTTCCTCAGACTGTTGTGGGTTTTGTTTTAAAGAGCCTGTGCTTTCAAGTGTTAATACCTACAGGGCTCAAGTCGATGGTCTAAGAGGCCAGGTAAAAGCTATTTGTCTCCTCCAGAATCAAGATAACTGGTCCAAGAAAGCTTCGAGGCGAAACCACGGAAGCCCGAGGCAGTTCGAAATTGAACAGGAAGGGATTTTAAACTGTTGCAGGGAAAGGTGTCTGCGATGTGACAGCCACTGGACAAGCCTTTGATGTGCTGCCTGCCTCCCTTGGCCAGTCAGCACTGGATCAACAACATTCTCTGCACTCTAGGGCGTTATCCTTGCCCGTGGCCAATTCCTTTGGTACCCACCCGGCCCTTCCCCCTCCTGCCTCTCGGATCCCACGCTTCCATCTCCCCTCCCTTCCTTTCCCCCACCCCACTCCCCCTTTTCCCTTTTCTCGCCCCCCTCCCGTTTCTTTCTATGCCCTCCAGCCCAGCCCACTCCGCCTCCTCACTCCCTCTTCCCAGGCGCGCGCTCGCGCTCCCGCTGCAAATGCCTCCAGCTCCCTCCTCCGTGGGCGGTGCCGCGGGCCGGCTGTGCGCAGGCGCGCTGGGCGGCGAGCGAAGGGGAGGGGGTGCTGGCGGGCTCCGCGCAGGCGCGCGCCGCTCTGCTGGGCACGGCTTGGCACGGGCGTCTTTCCCTCGCTCTGTCTGAGCGTCCGGGCTTCTCCAGTCGTAGAGGCGCTCAGCTGCAACATGTTCCTCCACTCAGTCAACCTCTGGAACCTGGCATTCTATGTCTTCATGGTGCTTCTGGCAACCCTGGGGCTGTGGGATGTCTTCTTCGGCTTCGAGGAGAACAAGTGCAGCATGAGCTACATGTTTGAGTACCCCGAGTACCAGGTACGGCCCTCCCTCACCTGAGCGCTCGCGCCTCGCGGGCTGCTCACGGGCTCAGCCGCGATCCCGGCTCGGAGCCTTCCGGGCACTTGGAGCCAGTCTCCTGCCTCGGACTGGGTTAGGCATCCAGTCCTTTCCTCTGGGTCCCCTCGCCCTCCATTCCTGGGCTCTCAGACCCCAGACCCCGACTTCTGACCCTTTGGGCACTGCCTGTTTCATCCCCGGAGAGCCAGCTCCGGTCCCTGTCCCCAAACCCAAATCTCTTCCGACCTCCTTTGCTTGCAAGAAGATGAATTCTCTTAGCGCCCAGTGATGGACATGTCAGATTTCGCTTTTTTGGAAAGAAACCCAGCGTCTGCAGAGTTGCCAAGGCTGATTTTTAACAGGAGCTCTAGGGTTTTTCTTCTGGGTGAAGTGAAAGGCTGCCCTGATGAATAATTAAACTGAAAACTATTTAGTTTTCTCCTGTGGAGATTTTTGCGGATCCACCTGTTCTGTAGGTTCTGATCCCGTGGGTGTGTGTGTACCTGTGTTTTCGCATGCCTCTGAACAGCCAGTGACCTGCACAATCTATTAAGATGTCTATTATAATCAGTTGCATGCAGTCTATTTTGCGGTATTATTTTGTTTTCTCACTGGGTTTAACAGGATCTGCCACCCCTCTCACCGCCCCCACCTCCTCCATTTCAATTTGAATGCTTTCAATTAATTGCTTCATTTGCTCTGCGTAGTAGAATCTGAAATTTCATTCATGACCAGCTGTAGAAAGAGATGATGACAAATTACACAGCTGTCCGGAGAAATTTCCCTCCGGTGATATTTTTGTTAAGCTTTCTAAATGAATCTCTTAATTTTGGAATATCTGTAACAATAACTCCTATAAAATATACGTAATGGTTTTTGATAACGGGAATTCTTAGTATACTTTTAAGGTCATAGCAGATTTTTTGGTAGGATGAAGGAAGAAAATCAGGACTGCGCCTGTGTACAGGTCCTTGGGGAGGTATTTGATGCTGCATTTATTTATGTTTAGAGTCTGGGGTTTAGATTGCTGAAGATCATCCTCCCATGGATATTTGCTAGTAAGAGAGTTCTTACCATGATTTTGCACGCGTGGTTATGAAGGGATGGGATCATTGGATTTCAGATGCTATTGGGGATTTTAACAAATCAATGTTAATTCCTAAGCTAATAAACTGATGTGATGTTGGTTTATGTGCATTAGAATCTTAATAGTTAAGTATGTGAACTTTAGTTTTTTTTAAAACTGGAAATAAAGTTCATCCTCATTTCCTTTAATTAACTACCGTTTAATAATTTAAAAACTCAATAGGCTGAAGTAGGTGACTTTAATTTTGTACTGTATTAAATGAATGCTTTGGTTAAAATAAAATCATTTTGGAACAATAGTTTCCATTTATATTTAGATTTCCCCCTAATTATTTAATCTATTTTAATATTTGCAGTAGTAGAAATTGGCTTCCTGCATGTTGGGAACAAAGCATATGGACCTCACAGATGCATCTCCTGCCTCATGAAATTGACTAGAAAGAGAAAATTACTGTCACTAACACAATAGAACTATTGGGCTTTTTTGTTGTTGTTGTTTTGGTTCTAATTGCTTTTTTGGAGTTTGATACTTATTAATTTGTGAGTACAATGATAATGACAGTGGTAGCAGTTTTGGCATACGTTTTTATCAGACTTTTTTTATTAGTCCTTTTGCTTTGAATGAGCTGTGTTATTTTACAAACAGAATTAAGTCCTGCCTATAGAAATGAGCCTTGTTGAATTAGATTTTAAGACAATTGAACTCATTGGGTTGAACGTCAAATGATTTTCACGTGACTAAAACTGTTTTAGAGATAGTTTATATATTGCTCTTTAAAGTAGCATTTTCTGTACCTTTCTAATTGTTCACAGGTTGATATCCAGCAGGTGGTGTGTCCTACTCAATACGTTTTCATCTTTCTTGAGGCCTTTTTCTTTTTTAAAAAATTGTTCATTTGTGTCTTCCTTAGCTAGTCAGCAGAAAATGATAACTGGCATTTCTTTCTCTCTCTCTATTTTTTGTTAAGTGAGAGAGGAATTTGGAACTCTGCAAAAAAAAAAAAAACGAGCTTTTGAGTTTGACATTGTTTATTATCTCTACTCATCCCCTGCCTGAAATATCCTGAATGCTCTGATATGGAGTTAACCGATTGTTTCACAGTTAGATCTTAAGTGTACATGTCATTTAAAGCTTTTTGCCTTATTATGCCAGTAGGGCCCAAGGCAAACTGTAGAATTTGAGAAGAAACACTCTCGTGTGTCCACTGTGCTCTGTTCATGTGTGTGACCCAATGGCTGCTCTCTGAAAGAAAACAGTGTTGTTGATGTTCATTTAGACGGTCATTTACTGAATGGCTAGATGTATTTGGCATGAGGGAATTAGTGATAAAAGCCCCTATTTCTTTCATGTATATATTTTAAGAAGAAGAGAGACAAGAATATTTAAATCAGTTATAGTACAATGTAGCAAGAGAGAGAAGAGAGAATATACATGTTTGTACTGGGTTTTCAAAGGCATTTGGAAAGATGTGAACTGAAGGGCTGGAGAGGTGGCTCAGCAATTAGAGCACTTGCTGCTCTTGCAGAGAGCCTGAAATTAGTTCCCAGCACCCAGTGGTGGCTCACAACCATACTTATCTCCAGTTCCATGGGATTCTGACACCCTCTTCTGGCTCCATGGTACCATGCAGGCAAAACATAAAGAGTAAAAACTAAATGAATTGGGGACAGGGTGTGAACTTGGACATATAGGTCATTTAGTTAGCATATATAGGAAGTGAGGAAGGCATCAGGACATATTATCTGATCAGCATTTATAATATATTACTATTGATGTAAAAGGGATAAAATAATCTATAAACATATTTGCCTGTATATATTAAAAATATTTGGCAGCACACATAAGTTGATTAATATTGGTTGTTGTCTGGGGTGGGGAACTGTGTAGCTGGAGGATCATGGGTAAGAGGCAGTCTTTTCCTTTTGAAGTTGAAATACTTGAAATGTATTTAACACACATTTTAAAACATGGCATGTGTAAGTTATAAAACTGAAGTAGATGTTGGAATCAAAATTTAAAAGCTCCTTTCTGTAAAGTCTTCATTATTTATGTGTACAGTACGGAAACACATGAGGAATGTGTTTTATCAAGACATTTTGGTAGTAGCATGGACTGGATTGTAGCAGAGAGATTATGACAAGAAGAAGGTTATATTATGTGTGTTTGTCACCCTGTTTTAATCAAGCAGGAGTTCCTAGAACTGCTCTTAGGAGTAGCCTCAGTCAAGGACACTTTAAAATGTCTGCTTTATTTTGATTTTTTCTTTTTGGTTAACTCATGGATATCAAACTTCAATAGTTTTCATTTACAAGTGAAAGACACACACGCACACGCGCGTGCCCGCGCGCGCACACACACACACACACACACACACGAACATTATAAAATAAGACCTTTGTCTTGCAAGTTAGGGTTCTTTATCAGTTGAGGGGTTGAAGTACCAGTGTGCTCATAACACAAATGGGAGAGTTGGTATTTCTGTATTTGGTATATTGGAGAAGATAATTGGAAGTGCTAGTCTGTTAAATAAGCACATAGTAGTCCCATGGATGCTTCTGTGGTGTAATTAGCCCAGATTATAGCAATATCCTTAAATAAATATTTTGGAATCTGCACAAATGATTAGAATTCTTTTTAAAAATTTTCAGCAGAATTAACATTTACAGTTTTTAAAATTCATATGATAAAATTTTTTCATCAAGTATTTATATATGTATGTTTAACATTATCCGATTATTAATATATTGATATCTGTTTAAATCTGTGATTCAGTATAATAGCTTGTTTTTAATGATTTCTATTGTTAAAAAGAGAAAGAAAAGAGACACCAGGTATGGTATGTACTCCTGTAATTCCCAACACTAGGGGAACAGTGGTAGGAGGGTGGGAGTGAATACCAGCGGAGCCTACATAGTGAGAACCTGCCTCAAGGGAGGGGTGAGAGCAGAAGAGTTTATGTCTGCCTGAGAGCAGGGACTAGAACAGAAGAATTCACACCTGCCTCAGAGTGGGGCGTGATCAGAAGAGTTCATGCCTTGCTACATCCTTGATAGATGCCTACCCTCTGGGGAGGATATTAAGACCTAGTATATGTCATATTGAAAATAATTCTGTATACAACTTAGGATTTGCAAAGTAGCTTCAGGCTTGCTAACAGTCCATGTACCTGGTCCACATTTGGAACAAATGCTAATTCAATGGAATGTTTAGGGTAAAAAGAATGTGTATATCTTTTTTTTTGAATGTGTATATCTTGATCAAGACTTTGTTGTAATGTTCACATTATTTTGTTAAACCACGGAGAGGTCAGAAAGTTGCATTGTCAAACAAACGTCCTAGGGCTGTGGAAATGGCTTAGAGATAAAGGGCTTGCTGTGCAATCACAAAGCAGGCTGGAGTAGTCTGTGCTTGTAATCCCAGCTGGGGAGGCAGAGGTAGGCCAGGCAATCTAGCTGAAGCTGTGATCTCCAGGTTCGGGAAGAGATCTTGTCTCAAAACAAGCAAACAAATTAGGTGGAGAATAGTTGAGTAAGTGTTGACCTCCAGCTTCCACATGCACATATACAATATGATCTGCATATTCCTGTGCACACACATGAACACATGTGCACGCACACCACACACACACTAATGAATGAACATGTGTGCACATTAATGAATGAACATGTGTGTACACACACAACAGCTAGAGTACTTAGGGGGCCTGAGTAAAAGGAAATACTTTAGAAAATGGTTAAAATGCCAAAGAGAATTGATCACAGAAAGCTCTTTTCATCGCTTTGAAGTAAAATTGATAACTGATTCTAAAGTAAGTGCATTTCCAATTATGTTTATTTGAAACTTTCTGACATATACCAGTGACATATAGCCATTGTCAGGCATTATTTTGACTCACTGGCATCTGTTAGAATTTCAACTTATATGTGTCTTATGCTTTTATGACGGTTATACCATTCAAGATCCACATAATTTAAGAATAACCCCCTGTTTGAAAAGTGATAACTAGAACTCGTTTTGTGCATTGAGTGCAGTTTATATCATTGGTAATGGTTTATATTGCACTGTTTCAAAGTTCTTTATGTTTGCATTCAATCTGAGTTGTATTAATAAGTGATTAAAACGGGCATATATATTTATTTACTTTCTGTAGAAAATAGAACTTCCAAAGAAACTGACAAAACGCTATCCAGCCTATGAGCTGTATCTTTATGGAGAAGGGTCGTACGCTGAAGAACACAAAATTCTCCCTCTGACAGGAATTCCCGTTCTCTTCCTTCCTGGTAATGCTGGAAGTTACAAACAAGGTAGGTAGTAGAAGGAAAAAGTTAAAGCTGGGAAATTCAATTCCAGGCTTTGGCGTATGTGCGTACTGCATGAATCAAGTGGGGTAAATAAAAAGCTAAGCCTGCTAAGGACTGTGCTAGACCTCCTGGGAGAGCCACGTGTATGCCATGTCCTTCAAGAGAAAGCACACATTAGAAACTCAAGGAGAAGAAGAGTTGAGGACTGCCTTGCAAAGGATGAGAAGAATCAGATGGCATAGGGTAGGGCGAGTAGATTATACAGATACCCGGGAATAGCAGAAGAAAGGTTCATATTGGAAATGAAGTTACAGAGAATGGAATCGGAAGCATTCACGAGGGAGAAAAGTATCTTACACTAACTGAGAGATCAGTTTCTTTCCTTGTGTGGAAACATGCAGTAGTATGGAGGGTTGCAGAATGGTGGGGAGAATGGAAGTGATATATTCAGGTTCCAAATTCAGTGCTGGCTTGGAGAATGTCAGGACTTTCTGGTATAACAGTCAGATGTCCCAGTCTGTAAGTAATTTTGTTTACAAACAAAATCTGCTTTGGTTCCTATAAACATTCCAAGAATTGTTAAATGACACCCAATTGTTTCAACATGTTGGGTAATTACTTATGTGGTTTATTTTCATTTATGAAATACTTGTGGAGTATTTATAGTGAGCCAGGGAGTATTCTAGGTATTAATAATCCAGAGTAGAATAAAACAGTACGTCCATCCCTCACTCATCAAGCGCATATTCTTATTGGGAAGACAGCTGTCAGTAAATGTGCCAGTAATATTCAAAGCTACAAGAAAAATGTAAACCACTGAGGGAGGCAGAGGTAAGTAATAGGAAAGAGACCTGTTTTAGATGATGTGGCCTGGAAAGGCCATGGCGAGGAGGTGGCATTTGAGGAGAGGTGAACATTATTGTTTGGGGAAGTCCCTGATGCAAGAGTATGCTTGGTGTGACCACTGTGACTAGAGAAAAATGAAATGGGAATGGAAAGCCAGCTATGATATATACATATAAGATCCAGGAAAGACTGGATATTTACTTGAGAGGGATATGAAACATGGATGCTTTGGGTAGAACTTATATAATCTGATTTTTTTTGTTATCTATCATGTTTGAAATGATACACACATACATTTACAGTTACAGCAAAGTGAGCTTACAGAGAACTAAAACTTCAGCAGAGAAGTAGAAAATTGCCAGCATCCCGAAAACCTTATGTGTTCCTTCATGACTAAGGCTTTCTCCCCATATATATATATATATATGGGGTGCTCGCTTATTATTCCAAAGGTTCAGTCTATTATATTCATGACAGAGCGTGGCATCACACAGGCAGACATGGTGCTGGAGCTGAGAGTGCTGCATCTTGCAGGCAACAGGAAGTTGACTCACTATCGTACTGAGTGAAGCTTGGTCTATAGAACGAGTTCCAAGACGGCCATGGCTACTGAGAGAAACCCTGTCTCAGAAAAACAAAAAAAGTAAAACCCTTTAAAACAAAGTTGGATGGCATTCTGGAATGTTTTGTACATTGAGCTCATCTCTCTTTCCTCTGCAGTCCGTTCTATTGGCTCCATTGCACTTAGGAAAGCAGAAGACATTGACTTCAAGTACCACTTTGACTTCTTCAGTGTGAACTTCAATGAGGAGCTGGTGGCACTGTATGGTGGGAGTCTTCAGAAGCAGACCAAGTTTGTGCATGAATGCATTAAAGCGATTCTCAAACTCTACAAGGTAGGAGATAAATATGCAAATCAGCAGTGTAACCTTTTAGCAGTATCTTTTTTTAAGGAATAAATTTGATTTCAAATAATATATTTGGTTATATTGAAGTTGAAACAAAAATACAAAAATGGCAGTACTTTTTTAAAAAAAATGTGGTATCCTCAATTTAATGATAGTTTAAAGGTCTAAGTTGAATTTGCAATTTCCTAGTTCACTGAGAGATCCTGTCTCAAAAGATAAGGTGGAGGCCAGTGAGACAACTTAGTGGGTAAAGGCACCTGCTTCCCAGTGTGATGACCTCCATTCAGTCACTGGAGCCCACATTTTTGAAGGAGAGAAACTGCCCTTCTCCCCAAGTTGTCCCCTGACATTCACATGGGCACATATGCCAAACAACCAAAAACTAGAATTTTAGGGAAAGGCATTTCATCAGGGATAAAGGCGTATGGTTTTTGTTTGTTTGTTTGTTTGTTTTGGTTTGTTTTGGCTTTTGGTTTTTCGAAACAGTGTTTCTCTGTGGCTTTGGAGCCTGTCCTAGAACTTGCTCTGTAGACCAGGCTGATCTCGAATTCATGTTTTAAAGACTTTGAGTTTCATTCTCAACCCTGTCTCTAAAAGAAAGACATTTCATAATGATAAAAGGGTCAATTCTCAAGAAAACAAAGTAATCATATGTATGTATCTAATTCACAAAGCAAAATCCAGTAAAACCAAGGAAAGAAATTAGCATTATTAGCACACTTAGTGCTAGTGATTTCACTTCTTTTTTCCCAATTATTGATAAAGAAGTCAGAAAAACTGGGTTTGAACACTATTCACCACCTTTGCTACATAATGCTTATTAGTAATAATAGAATACTGTACTCAATAACTATAGAAACATACTCTCTTTCAGTGCATAATGACCATTTACTAAGTTCTGTGCCAGAGCATATGCTGGTCACAGGTGTTAACAATCTTCTAAGTACTAAATCTATGCAGTGTGTTTTCTGAAAATAGCAAAGTTAAATTAAGGGTCAAAAAATACCTTAAAAACCTATTACTTCTATATTACCCAAAGTTTAAAAAAAATGAAATTTGAGGATACTTTGAGCTGAATTAAAAGGAAAACACTCGTCAGAATTTGTAACATTTTAAATATGTGCAAAATTGTCAAATAATAAAAAAGAATTTATAAAACTAGGTTATGGTTAAAAGAAACACTGGTTTTGAATGCTTACATTAGAAAAGAATAAGATTTCAAGTCAGTGACTTAAGCCTACACCTTTATAAGTCAGAGAGAAAAGAAAGTTAATAAAGTACGTAGAATGAGGAGGAATCACGGTGAAAGAGGAAATTAAAGAAATATAAAACAACAGAATAACCTCTGCTAATGGTTGATTTTCCAAAAAGATCAACAACTCCGTAGATTTTGGCTATACTGATTTGTAAAATGAGAAAACCAAGTGACAACATTAGGAACTAATGATTTCCACAGAGCCTACACAATGAAGAGGATAATGAAGGAACATTAGGCACACTTTCATGCCTGTAAATTTAATAACTGAAACGTATAAATTTCTTGAAGCACAATTTATAAAACTGTCATAAGAAGAAACAAAAAATATGGATAGCCCTCTATCTGTCAGGTTTTGTTTTGTTTTTTGAGTTTGTAATTGAAAATCTTACCACCAAGAAAAACCCAGGGCTAAGTGACTTCCAGTGAAATTCTAGTCCTCATTTAAAAAATAACAATTACCACTCTTAGAACAACAAAAGCAACTCCCAAAAGGAAACTGGAAGAAAAAGCATAGCTCTGACCACAAAACTAGATAAGACTTAAAAAAAAAAAAGGGATACATAATTACATTTTAGAGAATACAGCAGTCACTGAAAAGAAACTAGAGACATTCCTCATTATCATAAATATATAATTTTCAACTAAACACCAGGCTACCAAATTCAGCAGTATATAACATTTATTGCAAGAATTACTAAACTGGTTTAATATCTAAATATGAGTCAGTATGATTCACCATGTGATCTTCTTTGCAGCTGTAGCAAGCCATTTGACCACACTAGCACCTATCTGTGGCTTAATGTATAGAAAAAGGAGCATGAACTCAGTGTAGGAGGAATAGAAATTAACTTTTGTTTTGTGTTTGAGACAGGGTTTCTCTGTGTAACAGTCCTGACTGTCCTGGAACTCTGTCTGTAGACCAGGCTGGCCTCAAACTCATTGAAAACCATCTGCCTCTGCCTCCCTAGTGCTGGGATTAAAGGAGTGTGCCTCCAATGCCCAACTAGAAATTAACTTTCTTGTCCTGAGGAATCTTGAGTGTTATGAGAGAGAAAATGATCCTCTTTAGCTACAGGTAATAACTCATAAGATTATTTATCAGATAAGATAAATAAATGTCAACAACAGTAAGCAAATTTTAATGTTATAGGGTTGGTAGTTTATTAGTTTTGCTAATTTTGTTTTGGATTTTTCTAATAAACACATTAAACTTATAGTACAACTAATCAGTATTTTTAAGATGAGATACCAACAAAAATTTCTATTATAAACAAGTATAGTAAGAATTGAAGGGCAGTTGAACCTCATTGAGTGGTTAAGATACAGGTATGGAAAGATCATTATGGGTAGAGAAAACCTTATCATCGTTAAGAGTCTAAGTAAATAGCAGTCTAGAAAACCACAGAACAGAGAGAGAGAGAGAGAGAGAGAGAGAGAGAGAGAGAGAGAGAGAGAGAGAGAGAGAGAGAGAGAGAGAGAGAGCTAGCTAAGAACTGGGGTACAAGCCACTCATTTAAGGTGAGGGAATGAAAGAACACAGCCCCAAAGACTAAAAGTGAGCACCTGTGGATAGAGAGCAGGAAGAGGGGGTGCAGAGGTTGGCCATTATGGCGATAAACTCTGTATGGGATCCCCAAGACCATCCCCAGGCCGGCTGGCTTGACAGTGGGATTCGTAGACTTGGTTTATAACATACTTACTATCACACAGTGAAAGGACTCAAAGCAAATGAGTAGAGGGGAAAGCACACAGGATGAAATCTGAAGAAAGCAGTGTGAGTGTCCAACAGCTCTCACAGAGTATGAAGCACATTCTCACTACCTCCATCAATAAATTGTGGTGTGAGAAATGTTGCCTATGAAGGGCGCTCGTTAGAGACTCAGTGTCCCAAGTTTTTAATGGGAGCCGAAGCTGAATCTATCTGCTTAACTTATGCCAGAATTCTATCCTGGAGGACAGCAGGTGCTCATCATAAACCATATTGTTTGTATTATGGGCATTATGAACTACCTAAAGAGTGACAAGGATCCTCCCAAAATACAAGGTCCCAGACTGCACTGTGTAGCAACCTTTCATTTAGTTCATTCTGAGACTAGCAGGTGCAGGTCTTCTGTGTCAGCTCTGTTTTGCACAGTAACTGGAGGAGTGGTCCATGGGAAGGGTCAGTGTTGTGGGAGAGAAGTATAAGTTTTACAAGACTAAGGAGAGCAGCTGATACAAACTTTTTGTTTGTTTTTGAGATGGTCTTACTATGTAGTTCTGTCTGACCTAGAACTCACTAAGTAGACCATGCTGGTCTTGAACTCACAGAGATCCACCTGCTTCTGCCTCCCCAGTGCTTGGATTAAAGGTTTGTACCACCACATCTGATAAACAAAGATTATTATTGTCTTTTAAAATTAATTAACTTTGTGTATATGGATATTTTATCTGCTACGTGTGTTCCTGTGCCTTTGCAGGCCAGAAGAGGGCATTGGATCCCTGGGATTAGAGTTACAGACTGTTGTCCACATCTACCATGTAGGTGGTGGAATTGAACCCCAATCCTCTGGAAGATTCAGTGAGATTAACTTCTGAGACATCTCTCCAGCCCCAACAAAAATTATTTTTAAGGCAATACTTTTTTTTTTTTTGGTTTTTTGAGACAGGGTTTCTCTGTGTTGTTTTGGAGGCTGTCCTGGAACTTGCTCTGTAGACCAGGCTGGCCTCGAACTCACAGAGATCCGCCTGTCTCTGCCTCCCGAGTGCTGGGATTAAAGGCATGCGCCACCAACACCCAGCAAGGCAATACTTTTATTTAAAGAATTATATAACCTGTGAATAAATGTTTAAGAGGCTATTTTATTTTTTAATTTCAAATGCACTGTATAGAAATAATTTGAAGAGATACCATATGATAGTATATTGCTTCAGCACCTATAATGGTCTTGTCTTTTAAACTATTTTCAGTGCCAAATATTCTGATTTCTTGTATATTATAAATTTGTACCTCAGATTGTATACAACCTAACAAATGAATACAAACATGACTCACTAAATCAAGAATTCCAATTTCAGTTCAGAAAACCATCACAAAAAATACAACTGTTAAAAGTAACATGGCATAAAGGATTGACATATTGTTTAGGACTGTGTGAAAATAGATTTTTCTCTGTCCTACGGTTTGTCTTTGCTAGTATATTGCTCATATGCAAGCACAGTGCTAAGTATTTTTCTTATAATACTAAGAATTCTGTCGTGATGATTTTTTTCCCTTTTCTTTTTAAATAGGGTCAAGAATTTGCTCCCACAAGTGTGGCAATAATTGGTCATTCTATGGGTGGCCTTGTTGCCAGAGCATTGCTTACACTGAAAAATTTTAAACAAGATTTGATAAATCTTCTTGTTACACAAGCCACTCCTCATGTGGCACCTGTGATGCCGTTAGATCGTTTCATTACGGGTGAGTACTAATACATGCACCGATTTCCATTAGCGTTTGCATCTACGTGTGAGACAGTCCAGCGGCAAATCAGCACTTCCCTTCTCACCAGTGTCTTTCAGCCTAGGCTTCTCATTGAAAAAGCCATTGGTTTTCTTTTCCCAGCCAGTTGACCTGTGTTTGATGATCCCTAGTTTCTAGCACTCCAACTTTGTTATTCTTGGGAATGATTCTTTGTCTTCTAAGAATTACAGATTTGAAACTTGCCATATCTGAATCTTAAAGTAATAAAATTAAGAAATCTTTCTGATTAAAGTTGCTTAAATCTATCGTGCTGCTTCTAATAATGTTGGGTGGGTATACATTTAGGAAAAGAGTCAATTGCTTCTAAGAATGTTGGGTGGGTGTACATTTAGGAAAAGAGTCAACTGAAAATTGTATTTGTTACCACCTTTTCTATTGCATTTTGCACAGTACATATAGACAAGTCATGTAGTTTAGTTAAAATGATTGCAAATACACTTAAAATAATCTTTCAAGATTAAACCTCTTTTTCTTTTATTCTTTTTGTTGTTTTGTTTTATTTTCCGAGACAGGATTTCTCTGTGTAACAGTCACTGGCTGTCCTGGAACACATTCTGTAGACCAGGATGGCCTTGAACTCACAGAGATCCACCTGCCTCTGCCTCCCAAGTGCTAGTGTTAAAGGTGTGCACCACCAACACCTGGATATACTTTTGTTTTTAATTATTTTTTTAGTTTTTTGAGAGTTTCATACAACATGTTTTGATCATATTCACCTGTCTCCTCCAACTCCTCTCTGATTATTCCCCCACTCCCTACCTAGTCAATATTTGAAGGCATGAGTAGGATCTGATGGAGTATGGCAATGGATTCAGTTTTGATACAGAGTAAAAGAAATGATATCTCTTTTGGCCTGGTCTCAATGTAGTAATCAACATTAAAATTTTATTAGTTTTATTTAGTAGATGAAGTGAAAACTTGCCTGGAAGGTCATCACTTTAAGTTTGCTGCTTAACTTAATGGGTAGAAGCCTAAGCCTGAGATTTCTTTCAGAGGTATAATCCTAAAATTAATATGGCATTGCCCTTATAGATTGTAGGAACTTATGTAGTGATATGTGGTAATGGTTGTCCAAAGCAGGGTTGCCAAACCTTCAAAAACTGGGACACATCTGTGACAGGGAAGAGTGTATGTCTTTCTTTTTAAGACTACTTTATTGATGGTAATTCTTGCACAAAATGCACATATTTAATGTATGCCACATGATGGGATTGAACAGGGCATATATCATGACACTAGCACATGGGTATCTACAACTCCTTTGCAAGGTTTGGGATTCTTTGGAGGAATCTAAGGGTTTCTTTGTTATGGTGTGTGGAGTACCACTCTTGTTAGGTACAGAGACGTGATTACATATGAACTGAATGAAAGCTGGTACAGTTTGGCCTTTTTCTTTACTGACACCTCTAGTAACTCTCAGTATTTGTACTCTGACTTATATGCACATCTGATGATTTTTCTCAGAATAGGGAAATGTGATTAATGTTGTTTACCAAATAGCTCAGCAAAATTAAGATAAATACTAGTATTATAAGTATGGCTGCATGAAATGACTTATTTATCAATGTTTCTTTTTTATTTCCTTCCAGAGTTTTATATGACTGTGAACAACTATTGGATTTTAAATGCTCAGCACATAAATTTGACTACACTTTCTGTAGCTGGAGGATTCCGGGATTACCAAGTTCGTTCAGGACTGACTTTTCTACCAAAATTAAGCCATCATACCAGTGCCTTATCTGTTGTGGTAATTATTTTAAAGATTCTATGTAGTAATAGTAGACATGATGGGACATCAAAAGGGAAATAGTGTATACCTGCTTGTAAATGAGTGCTGAATTGGTGGAGCAGGCCTGTGTGTGTGCATGCATGTGTATGTCTATGTGTGCACACGCATGTATGCACATGAGCACATTGGCATATGTTTCAGAAAATTTGAATGAAGATGAATGTGTTGAAAAACAGAAGCATGGATGCTTATGCCAGAGAAAGTAAAAAGGATGTTAGAAACCTTGAAAATTAATGAAAAGAATATTCTCCAAAATAAGAACCTACCCATTAATTAGAGGTGTAACTGTAAGAAAGTATGAGCTAAATGCATGGGGATCTAGTTACATATGAGTGTGAGAGTATTTATAATATTAATAAAATGGCAGACACACCTCATCCTCCTGAATGCTAACTTTGAGTAAAGATTTACCAATTGCTAAATAAAATCATGTTCTTTGATAGTTGAAGTACAAATAAAACCCCAATTAACTTGCTGATTACTAATTAGCCTTCCCTGACAGAACATTGAGTATTGATCTTTAATCAGCATATACAGCCTTTGTAAAGTGAGCTCAGGTTTCCTTTAGAACTTCTTGTATATTTAACTGTAATGTCACCTGTTAAGACCTTTATGTCAAAGGCATACACAGCCTCTCTAGCATGTGGTCCACTTGTCCCTGGTGCTTTGGTGAGATGGTGTTAGAACATCACTGCTTCCGAGTTGTTCTTCAGTGTAACATACCTACTCTTGCCTTACTATTTATCCATTACTTAGTTGCTTACTGAATCCTTCCTTGTCTTATCCAGAGGAGAAATTATTATGCAGGACTATCATTAACTTTTTCTTCTAACTGGAAAAATTAGGATACAGCTAGAATAGTTGTCATATTAAATTAATAATTCTCTCAGACATCATTATTAGTGGTGTGAATCTTGTTTTTGGTGTTGAGTGTCTTAGACAGATATTTTCTGGAAGTCCTCAGAACATCCGGTGTGTCACTCTTTGGTAAACATGAACGATGAAGTCTTATGAAATCAGGCATAACTTACTTGTCATCCTTGACCTGCAGCATGATGTTAGCATCCTGCTTGCTGATGCTTGTCTTCTAAAGAACATTGCATTTGATCTCACATGCATCCTCGATTGCATGAATGTATTTCCTTGTCTACTCTGATCCATTTGACAATATGTTGCTGTCACTATTTCTATATGTCTGATGAAAAGATTTTATGAACTAATTTTCCCATGGTTGTCTATTTGTATAACTTTTATTTTTATTTTTTATTTTTTGGTTTTACGAGACAGGGTTTCTCTGTATTGTTTTGGAGGCTGTCGGTCCAGCCTGGCCTCGAACTCACAGAGATCCGCCTGCCTCTGCCTCCTGAGTGCTGGGATTAAAGGCGTGCGCCACCACCGCCCGGCATAACTTTTATTTTTTAACTCCCAAATAGTCTATAATTTTCACATGCTTATATGTATGCTATTAAAGTCAATTAAAAAGTAACTGTTTTCCAATGTTTATCATAGGAGTTGCATTTATATTCATTCATTGGGACTAGAAACATGATAAGATTTTAATAACATAATTGTGTTTGTAGAATAGGTTAAATTGCTACAATATATTCCCTTATAGGTAATAGTGTCATAAATACAAATGAACATTTACTATGTAGGTCAAGGGTGGCATCTGATTCAGGGACCTAGGCTGATGCCAGACACCCTATCTGGAATACTCCCAAGATCACTTCAATTATCACTAGTTTAACTGATGAGAAAGAAGAATCAGCATAGGGGGAGTACTGGGGCTGAAAAGATGCCTACTACTTCTGCTCACATAGTTAGGGGAAGTACTGTTAACTTCCTAAAGCAAGAGAGGCCAAGGGATTTAGCTATGCTATTTGTTATAGAGAAGAGTGAAGGCATTTTAGTGTACTATTAATGGTTCCACGAGCAACCAGCCTTATAAAATGTACTCATTTTTCTTAAATTTGTTCTCTAACAGTTTCATAAGTGAATATGTGTACTGGTTACTCCCATACCCTCTTATTGCCCTCCCACCCCTGCCAACCTTCTATTTCCCTGCAACTCTCTACCCCATGTTTATATCTGTGTTTGGCTTTGTGACCCACTGAGTTTAACAAGGGCTGTCTGTGTGAACACGAGTTTGGATCTATTCATTGGAGCCTACTGGTCTTTCTGTAGGTACACAATTGAATGCCTTGTCCACAATCTGTCAGTAGCCAATGATTAAGCAGTAGGGGTGGAGCCTCATGAGCTTCTCCTTCCGTAGCTGACTGTTGACAGGGCTAGTCTAGAACAGGCCCAGTGTTGTAACCACAGCTAATGTTAGTTCATGCTTACAGTGGCTGTGTCCTGCCTAGAAGATGGCTTTTCACAGCTCTTCTCCAGGTAGTGGAACTCCTATGTTCTTTCTTCCCTTCTTCTGCAGTGTTCTCTGAGCCATAGAGAGAGGGAGTAGGTGGTGTTTGTGTTGCCTTTATCAATTCGAAGACAATAAAGCACTTTTATTTTCTTGATAATGGTAAATGTCACTAGTAGTTGAGCTATTATTCTACTCAGTGGCTAATAAAATCTTAGAACCATAGAGAACTCTGGTTGTCAGATTTTTTAGTAATTCATCAGCAGTAGTTCCTAACTATATAAAGTACCTATAAATTTATCAATAAAAGGGGTGGAGAGGAATAAAAGTTACAGAGCATGAAAATGACCAGTATATATTATGGGAATGTGTGGAAATGTCATAATCAAGCTCTTTTATATAGTTAATACATGCTAATAAATATTTCTCAGGCACACCTGCTTTAAAAAATCATATCTTAGAACTCACCAAGTAGTAGTTTAGTCAAAACTAAAATCCTGAAATGTCTATTGGAACTTCTACGTTTATGTAAAAGTAAAAGACCTTTAGGTAAGAAAGATCTCTTATTTAATAAGATTCCTTATAAAAGCAGTGTTAAGCTCAGCTTTTTAATCATGTTTTTAAAATGTTAGATGGTAAAACCTCAGCATAGGCTCTTTGGATATATTAATTATTAGGATCTCCTTTTATAAAAATGAATATTTTAATTTAAGAATTATACAATATGGTGAAATTAACATGTGTTTCTAAATAATAGTTTATGAGAAATCCAACAAATAGTAAATGCATTTGAGTTTAATTCTTTTTCTTTTTGTTTTCCTTTTCCTTCTAGAGCTCAGCAGTGCCTAAGACCTGGGTCTCAACAGACCACCTCTCCATCGTGTGGTAAGTTATAACCTCTGTTGGTGATTTTTCATTAATATAGTAATTGGCTTTCTAGCTTTCATAGAATGTGACCCAGAATTAAGTCCAAGAGTGAAAGATTAATAGGGGTTTAGAGTTCAATACTTGGCTCTTGATTGTTTGACCATGGTTTCATTGACAATTTGCAACATCATCTTTTGAAGCACAAGTTAGGTCATTTTGAAGGATGCCAGCATTAAATACTAAGTTTTAGGGTTTGCATCACTGGGTAGAGTCAGATGTGCCTCCAAGAGGACTTTCTGAGCTCCCAGCCAATCACAGCACACAGCTGTGGTTAATGCAGTGATGGCTGCTGCCTGGCAGCAGTGGAAACCAACTAGAAGTTAGGTCTATACCTACTATAAGTAGAAACACAAGAGACTACATATGGATCAAGAAAAGCAAAGACTCCAGTGTCTAGCTCCTTGTGCTTTCATATTCTCTTTTGTCCGTCTTCTGTCTGTACAAGCCATAGTGTCTTCAGGATCCACACAGTGCAGGCATGTAGGATGGTACAGACAGTATTTGTGCATATAGCTGGAAGTCACATGGGCAACAGAAGGGCCGTTCTACTGTCAGATATTCATAAATATTTCATTTGCTTTGCTTTTATAGGTTTCAACCTGGGTATATACACTTAATAAGAATGATTTGCTGAATATATTTTAGGGCACAGCATTAAAGGAATATAATATACTCTATTACCTAATAGAATTGTGCATATTTGACTCAAAATTGGATTGGTGGTTGGTGGCTTCTGGGGGAGAGAGAGTCACTTTTCTTTGGGGGTATGGTGACTGGTAGAGTCCCCATTCCCTAATGGATTATCCCACACTCATGCATGTGTGGGTGGGACTAATTGGATTTAGTAAGTTAAAAAGTGAATTAAATTTAGGAGAAGAACATGAAATTGGAATGGAACTATGATGTGGGGATTGTGGGGATGATTGTGGAGGAAGCAAGGGGTAGATATGGTCAAGGTATATATTTTTAAGAAAACTGTCTTTGTAACACTCCCTTTACTTTCTTAGGTGTAAACAATTGCAGTTGACTACAATCCGAGCATTCTTCGATCTTATTGATGCCGATACCAAACAAGTATGCATTTTAAGCTAAAGGTTTATTCTAGCAAAGTGAAAGTTTTTGTTAGCACTAATAGATTTAATTCATTTTAACATGGATACTAACAGAAACCTGTACCTTGTATCAAGCTGACTTAGTTCTGAAATGGAAGCACCTTTATTTCTTCTGGTGTAATACAGAGACCATTAGCTCAGGAAGCAGTAGAACTAAAGAGCGAAGGCATTCACCAATGCTTCCCTCGGTTCTTTCTCTGCACAGGCCAGAAGCTTGATACCCATCTCCTCCTGCTCTTAATTTTAATTTAATAGAAATGTTTACAACAGACTAATTAGTAATTTTTCTTAGTAACATACGAGAACGTCATAATCTATCTTATTATGTACTCTTGGGCAGTGTATTAAAGTTATCTTTAGCATATTGATAAGATCAAAATATATGCCACCTTCCTGTGAATCACACTAGAGAGTCAGTGCGTACTGCCATGGGTTGAGCCGTTTCTATGATGAGATCTTAATTCAACCATGATTTCCAAGTTGTTCAGTTAGCAGAGCACAGGGATCACCCACCATACCCTGCACAGAACATGGTGTCACTCTTTTGTCGCTTTCTTAACAACCAGTAGTTCATTTCAGCATGGTTAAGAACCTCGTGTTCTTCAGCGTCACTTTCTTCTGGGAGTTGGGGACAAGCTGGTGTGACTCATCTTCAACTGCCTTCCCCCAGCCATCTTGCAGTATTTTTCTGTTCCATGGGAATGGCTTTGAGAGTCATGGCTCTGCCTTCTTCCTCCTCCTGGAGAAAAATGTTAGTTTTTGAGGTAGTCTTTTTCATTATGACAGAGCATTATAGTCCCAGATCTTAATAGCTGTGTGACTTTAGATAAATGTATATTTTTCTGCACCTTAGTTTTTTTGTTTTACAAAAATGCAGATATATATTATCAGATTTTGTGAGCATTAGAGTTATATTGTTTTAGAGCAATGCCTGGCTCAGAGAGAGTAAATGTTGACTTTTTATTACTTGAAGTAATGCCTTATCAAATTATCATGTTGTAAATGATCTAGACTATATTAATGTTCTTTCTAGATAACCCAAAAACCTAAGAAGAAATTGTCTGTGTTGACTCACCATTTTTTAAGACACCCAGCTAAACAGTTTGAGGAAAACCCATCAATAATTTCTGATCTAACAGGTTTGTAATGGTAACCTTTAAAGCAGAACTTTTCATTATTGTGTTTGGTAAGTGTGTTGTTAGTGCACAGCTGTTAGTATTTGGTACTGGTGGAAACTGGGAAACTTCAAGTAACATAGTCCTATTATTTATTGGCCTCCCTATGGTGGTGCTAATGAGGTCTTGGTTTGAAAGTAGAAAAGCAAATTGCAAGATATGGATCAAGGTTTGTGCTGGAAATAACTGTATGAATACAAAGGTTTTAGAGTTGCATGACCCTGTTTTTCCTGATGGTCACCAAAAGTAAGACTGTATTATTTATAACATATTTGTTTCTCAGTGTCATTTGGTCTTCAACTTTCTTTTGCATGACTAGCCTATCATTTGCTGGATAAGTTTGCTCATAAGCATTTACTGTTTTATTTGTTTAAACATTTTGCTTGGGTAAAGTAATACTCACTTCCTTCTACTGAGAATTCCATTAAGTTAAAGACGCTGAGTAGGTTTATAATTCCTCACCTAATATGAACACTGGTTGATGTTAAGCACAAAGATTGTGTTTCTGGATTTTATCTTTTAAAGTAGCCAATGTTCAGAGAACCACTTGTTTGTTATTGTTAGTAAGTATTTATCAGAATTCAAAAAAGAAAGAAAATTTTAATATGGAAACAAAACAAGGCAAATAAATTAATTTCCTTCCCATTAAGGAACGTCAATGTGGGTTCCAGTGAAAGTGTCCAGATGGACCTATGTGGCTTATAATGTAAGTATTCTCCTTGTGTGTTTCTGTCCAAACTTACTCTCATAGTTACCTATAAAAGTTAAGAACTTTAAAAAACAAATCACAACATTTCTCATGATCTACTAAGAATACCTTAATAATAAATATCAAATCTGTGCAATTTCCCTATTTTATCATAAATTTGGACCCTTCTTCTTTGTTTTTCAATTTATTTTGTTAAGGGTCCAAATGATGCCATATATCATTGTTATTTGATATGTTTGGTATTCCTCTTCAGTATAGTTCCCACTCTTTTTATTTTCTTTGAAATTTATTGACAAAGTATCAGTCTCCTTTTGTGATGGAATTTCATATTGGTTTGATTTCACTGATTGCATTTCTATGATCATTCAGTATATTCCTTTGCAATGATTTATAATTAGACTTAAATGCTTGATAGATTCAATTTTTTTCTTAGAATCTTTTTTTTTTTGCCTTTCCTAGTTTCTTTTCTTGAAGTAGGAACAGTTGCTAGGGAATGTCTGAATTAGTTAATATATGAGGATAAGAAAATGATGATATTCTGTTTCTTTTCATTTATTGACTAGAATACTGCACAGAAAAATTTCCCTTTATCTACTAAATTTGTCAAACGTAAGACAAATCCCAAAGGACAGAATGATAAATGCTTGACTTTTGGATTTTACCTTGTATATAGTGGCTGTTAAGAGAGTGAGTTGGCTTGTTAGCATTCCTCATGGGTGACCATTGTTAACTCATGTATGTAAATATATTTGCATTCATTCAGTTCATCGATTCTAAAGCTGTTCTTTGCCTGACAAATTGAAGCCATTTCAAGTTTGGCTCTTTATCTTTTCAATACAGCTACTTAGTTGTAGTTTCTGCTAGTGTCCTCATTTACTGGTGTGACAAAATATTTCAGCTCAGTTTTTGCCTGTCCCCCTCCAGTGCTGAATTTGCTGTTTATTTAAGGGATCATTTTATTTAGGAAATGGTATCTGCAAACCATAACCTGGCTTATGGTTCTAGGTTGTAATTTATGGACCTTTCCAGTAGCCAGAGTGATTAGAAGTTCAAACATCACAGCCATGCATAGTGGTGCACCCCACACCTTTATCCCAGAACTTGGGAGGCAGAGACAGGAGGATTACTGAAATCTGAGGCCAACCTGATCCACATGGCAAATCCTGGACCACTCATTGGTATAAAATGAAACCCTGTCTCAAAAACCAAAACAAAACACCAAAAACAGTAAACAAAATGTAAATCATCACACACATGAATGCATTAACCCTGATGCTTCCAGGATGTCTACAGAGTTTTTAACCTTATCTTTTCCCTCCTTATCCTTTACCTTCCATTCCTAGCCAATTGGTTCTTAGTAACAGCAAGAATATATACTTTATTCTTGTTACCATGATTTTTTGAATGATGAACCTATTCACTCATTATAGTTAAATTGCTTTTTTTTTCCTCTTTTTTAGGAATCTGATAAGATTTACTTTACATTTCCTCTTGCAAATCATAGGAAAATCTACACTCATGCTTATTGTCAGAGCACCATGCTGGTAAGATGGTTGGCATGTCTCATTTAAGTTTGAAAAGCTGTTGTTCATCCTTTTAGTTTCAACTGACGGTCTAATAAGACCATCTGTAGCTATCATGGAGTTTAGTCAGGTGAAAACGTTCGTTTGGAACAGTGTTTTGATGGAGAATTATTAGGCATAGTTTATCTATAACTGATAATGTGCTGTTAACGTCTACATTCCAGTCTTCCATCCTGCTCTTCTACTTAGATTCACTGTATTCAGGATGAGGGATTGAATCCTAAACTTTTGTTAGATTTTTACCAGTAAGTATAGTTGAGCAAACTGTCTGAATGGAGTTTTAGGAAATAAATCCTGTTTTACTCTTTGATCATATACTAAAATGTAGGTGCTTTTTATACCAGATGTTCTTTAGGACAGTAGAGTGACTTTAATATAGGTTTACACTATCAAAGCAATGGTGTTTTCTTTTTAATGAAGACCATTTCCATCAGTCACTGGATTCAGAGACCCATGGCCAAACATGCTGTGCTCAGGAGTCCTACTGAGGAGAGGGAGGAAGGATTGTAGGAGCCAGGGGTTCGACATCAGAGGAAAACCTGGCTCATGGGAACTCACAAAGTCAGAACCAACAACCAGGGTGTCTGCATGGGACCAACTTAGGGCTACTGCATATATGTGACAGTTGTATAGCTTGGTCTATTTGTGGGACTCCCGGCAATGGGAGCTGGGCTGCTCCTGGTGCTTTGACTGGCTCTTGGGGGATTACCTTGCCCAGCCTGAATACAGGGGAGGTGCTTGGTCTTATGAAGCAGCTTGATAAGCTATGCTTTGCTGATGCCCATGGGAGGCCTGCCTCTTTCTGAGCCAATATGGAGGAGGGGTTGACTGAGGGGAGTGGAATGGCAGGAGGGAAGGGAGGCAAAGGTCAGGATATAAACTAATTAATTAATAGAAATAAATAAATACTGTTAAATTCACACACACTAGTTTGATCCCATATAGACTAGATTAGCATGACCCTTGTATAAGGATAATATACAAATTTGTGAAAATTTCATTTTTTTTTTTTTTTGCTTTTTCTAGAGAAGGTTTCTCTGTGTAATAGCCCTGGTTGTCCTGGAACTCATTCTGTAGACCAGGCTGGCCTTGAACTCACAGAGATCCACCTTCCTGTACCCCCAAGTGCATGTGTCATCACTGCCTCATGAACTTTCTTTTTAAAAAAAACTGTTGGGGTCTTTTTCCTCTGTTCTAAATTTTGGTTTTGGTATGTCTCAGGGTTTGTTTGTTTGTTTTAAGAATCACTATGTATTCCTGGCTGGCCTGGAACTCTCTGTAAGGACCAGGTTGGCCTTGAACTTGAAGGTTCACTTGTTATTCCTATTATGTGTTTGGGGCTGAGTCTTGCTGTGTAGTCCTGGCTGGCCTTTCAGCATCCTACCCAGGCTTTTGAGTAGCTGAGATTCCGTGTGTACAGAATTCAGAACTGGTGTATTATGTCGCTAGTAGATGTTACAATTGATACATCATACATAGTGCAGTTCTAAAGAAAAGGTTGTAGGCAGCCATTGTGAGCATGATTTGAAAGAATACTATATCCTAGTGGGATTGACAGCTTTTCATCTCTCTTAGATATCAGCATCTCTTGGCCTAAATCAGGATAGGCAGTTCATTCTGAGGGAATCATCTTCAGAATATCTTAACAACCCATTTTTTTTCCTTTTTTAAAAAATTTAAATTAGAAACAAGCTTGTTTTAAATGTCAATCCCAGTTTCCTCTCTCTCTTCTTCTCCACTGCCCCCCACTGACTCCCTTTCCCAACCCTTTCTGCTCCCCAGGGAGGGTGAGGCCTTCCATGGGGGATCTTCAAAGTCTGTCATATCATTTGGAGCAGGGCATAAACCCTCCCTCATGTGTCTAGGCTGAGAGAGTATCCCTCTATGTGGATTGGGCTCCCAAATTCCATTCGTGTACTAGGGATAAATACTGATCTACTACCAGAGTCCCCATAGATTAACCAGACCTTCAAACTGACATCCTTGTTCAGGGAGTCTGGAACAGTCCTATGCTGGTTTCCCAGCTATCAGTCTGGTGTCCATGAGCTTCCCCTTGGTCAACTGTTTCTGTGGATTTATTCAGCCTGGTCTTGACACCTTTGCTCATAACATACCCATTATTAGTATAATATAATTGTAATTATGTAATGCTAAATTCAAACTAGGAGGTGTTGTAGTTCCTTTCATTGTCACTGTGTTAAAGTACCTGAGAGAAGTGACTTAAGGGAAAGTTCATTTTTGCTTACGGTGTAGGTGGGTACCACCCATCATGGCAATCTAACAGACCTATAACCCCTAAAGAATAGAAGCAATCATCAAAAGTCTCCCAGCCAAAAAAACAAACAAACAAACAAAAAAACCCAGGCCCAAATGGCTTTAGCACAGAATTTTACCAGAAATTTAAAGAAGAGCTAATTCTAATACTCTTCAAAGTGTTCCACACAATAGAAGCAGGAGGTTCATTGCCAAACTCTTTTTATGAGGCTACAGTTACATTGGTATTCAAGCCACACAAAGACACAACTAAGAAAGAGAACTACAGACCACTATCTCTTATGAACATTGATGCAAAAATACTCAATAAAATATTAGCAAATCAAATCCAAGAACAAATCAGAATAATCATCCACCATGACCAAGTAGGCTTCATCCCAGGGATGCAAGGATGGTTCAACATACAAAAATCTATCAATGTAATTCACCATATAAACAAACTGCAAAAGAAAAACCACATGATCATCTCACTAGATGCAGAAAAAGCCTTTGACAAAATCCAACACCCCTTCATGATAAAGGTCCTTGAGAGATCAGGGATAATAGAAACATACCTGAATGTAATAAAAGCAATATACAGTAAACCAACAGCCAACATCAAACTAAATGGAGAGAAATTCAACACAATTCCTCTAAAATCAGGAACAAGACAAGGCTGTCCTCTCTCCATATCTCTTCAATATTGTACTTGAAGTTCTAGCTAGAGCAATAAGACAACAAAATGAGATCAAGGGGATACAAATTGGAAAGGAAGAAGTCAAACTTTCACTATTTGCAGATGATATCATAGTTTACATAGATAAAGACCTTCAGCAAAGTGGCAGGATACAAGACTAACTCAAAAAAAAAATCAGTAGCCCTACTATATATAGACAATAAATGGGCTGAGAAAGAAATCAGAGAAACATCACCCTTTACAGTAGCCACAAACAACTTAACCCATATTCTTAAAAAAAAAAAGTCATCTTTTATTTAAGCCTCATGAAATCAGAGACCAACTTGCCTGACTCATGGCCTTCTCTGAGACCTTATCTCTCTTGGCCTTAGAATGGTCTTTATAAACTTCGGTTTGATGAAAGAATTGACTTCATCGTTCTTTGTTCTAAGACAGCTTAGTTGTCTTGACAGTGCTCCACACCATCCTACACTCTAGTGGGATTTCAGTAACGTCTCATCTTGGGTATCACATTTACTCTTATAAAAGCTGGAGTGAAAATCTCAGGTGGAAGTGTTTCTTAAATAACCAAAGCTAAATGTAGGATGCTTTGTTTAAAAAAAAAAACAAAACAAAGAAAAGAAAAGAAAGGTAGGGATGGAGGGAGGAAAAGAAAGAAGACAGAAAGAAAGAGCAAGAAAGAAAGAAAGGAAGGAAGGAAGGAAGAAAGAAAGAAAGAAAAGCAGTTCATTCTGCAGCATCTAACCCTGTGGCTACCTTCAGTGTTCAGCCCTTGCAGTTGGGTTTCAGACTAAGCACATCCCTGGTAATATAGGAGTTACATCCTGGTAGTCAAATGAATATGCAGATACCAAAGTAAAAAGCTAAGTTTTAAATTTTAAGGTATTATATTTTTAATTTCCTGGCTGTGGGTGTTTGTTTCTAGAAAAGAAAGTTCATGCTTACTTTTGTTGGGCTGTAGGCTATTAAATGTAACTAAAGCATGGACATTGTGAGACTGGAAGTTTGAGGGCAACAGTTAGAAATACTTAGATCGTGGGCTGTACAAGTGCTCTGAGGTCAGTCTCATGGCATGGGTCAGCTGCTCATCTAATGCGACCAAGTCAGTGGTCGGCTCTTGGCCTATCCTTGCCCTGTGTGTCCTTTAAGAAAATATTGGATGTTTATTAGTTACAAACTGCTACTTTGTTTCCCTTGATCCTAACCATCGATGTTTCTATGTATATCTATTGATGTTATCATATATAAGAGGAAAATATTGGAATATTGGAGATGTTTGTTTTATTTCATTGTTTTCTGTTATTAACCAACAGGATACAAATAGTTGGATTTTTGGCTGCATAAACAGCACATCCATGTGGTAAGTCTTTGAACCTACTTGTTCATTCTTCTTAACAAACAATGATCAGAAGTTAAAATTTCAGAATGCCCCCCACACACGCACACACGATATGCATGCATGCGCACTTGCAAACATACACAATAGTTTCTTTTTTTTTTATTTGGTTTTTGAGATTAGGTCCCATTCTGTAGTTCAGAATTTATTGTGTAGCTCCTTGCCTGGAACTCACTGTTATTCTCCTGTATCAGCTTCCCCAGTGCTGACATTACAGACATGAACCACAACAAATGGCCAGAAGAGCTTTAATTGCTCATCATATGTTTATTTTGCTATCGTATCAAATTGTAATTTTATATTTTAAAGTTTGATTATTGTGTGTGTGTTGTCCATGTGCATATGTGTGCATGCATGTGTGTGTTTGTGCTCTGTGTGTGTACACGTGTGTATGTAGTATGTGTGCATGCATGTATGTATGTGCTGTGCTTGTGTATATATGTGTGCGTATGTGTAGGGGTGTGTGTGTGCATGTGTGCACGAGTACACATGTCATGGCATATGTGTGAGGTTTAGAGGACAGCTGTTGGGAGCTGGTTCTCCTGCGTTCTGGGTTCAGGCTGTCAAGCTTGCACTGCAGTGCTTTTCCCACTGACTCATCTCACTGGCCCTGATTTTTTTTTAATGAAAATAAAAGAAGATTTATATACTAGCAAATTTAAAAAACTTTTTGAACATTTAACTGATTGTTAGGAAAAACCAATGGTTTTGTTGTTGTTTTGCTTAGGGAGCTTTCTGGATTTGTATATAGACTACATACTCATCGCAACTATGCAGTCTCTCATCTGCAGGGCTGTAGATGTTTTTTCCTCCTTACTCTGAAGTTTCTTTGTAAATTATAATAGTTGAGCATTTGTCCTCTAATTATCCCTTCATATTTATTTCAAAGCCGGCAAGGGGTTGATTTATCATGGAAATCTGAACTGCTGCCAACAATTAAGGTAAATGATAGCTTTAGGATTTTACATTTAGGTTAAAAAAATTCAACTGGTAGATGTTTTAGAATGTGCTCTTTTAAAAAAGTCTTAGGAGTCTTCTCTTTGGAAGTCTTTTCTTTGGAAATGTATTTGACGAAGAGTAGCAAGCAGCTGTGTGTTCAGAGATTAAAAACTGTAAATTGACAACTTGCTGAATGTGTTGCAGCATCATTTACTAAAAGAGCCAGAAGGACGTTTAGCATTCTTTTGTTTTTTGACAATATGCATTAATGGTTTGTTCTTAACTATAAACTGGTTAATGTATTCTATTGAGAATTCATTTTGGGAGGAAGAACCTTGCAGTGGGAAGTGAGTATCTCAAGGAGACACTGAGAAATTTTCTAGATTACATCGCATTGTAGTTAAGCAATTGGGTAACTCTTGTACCTAGTTCCCCACGGTGGTCACAGCATGGATTTACTTAATAATTGTTAGTGATTTCCTTAACTGACTCTGGTAAGTTAGCAAGTCTTCAAAAAACGACTAATTTGTATATTTTCAAAATCTGTTGTGGAGAATGCAAAATAAGTCTGTAATTTGATAAAAATATCTGTTCTAATTTCCAAACTGTGTTTATTATAATTTACAGTCTCATCTGGACTTGGTAGTTTCAGTTTTCAAGTAAACCCATACCTTAAAATAAAACATAGTTTTCTAATGAACTCAGACTTGAAATGGAAGGCATCTAGCTGGTCCCAGCACGCTCCCACTGGTATCAATTGAGTTATTTTTTTCTCAAGGATACTAATTTCTTTATTGAGGGAGCAGTACTGGAGGCTGTCCTCCAGTCATGTCCTATCCATCACTGAGTCACATCATCAGCTGTTAGCTTTTTGTTTTTGAGGTGGGGAGGAGTCTCACTAAGAATACATGCTGCCCTTGAATTCCTTTATAGCCCAAGTAGGATTACGATACACCTCAGCCACCTGAATGGCTGGAGCGTTCATTTGTATTAACACTTAACTCTGCGTTAATTGTGCTGTCAGGAAGCAACTTTAAAAAAAGAATGATGTCAGAGGAATAGTCACCTAAACTTTTGTTGTGGGTTTTGTTTGTTTGTTTTTTGCTTTGTTTATTCTTTGTGTGTATTCATTTTGGAACAAATACTATTTGTATTTGTAAAACAAATACGTAAAGAAGCCATTTTACTCAATAGCATCTTTTAAAAAAACACAAAAATATCCCTGGGTTTTTCCTAATCTTCAGGCAAAAGCAAAACAAACAGAAGCAGTTAGGATTGATGTAGAATTGTATTTCATTCTCTTGAGATACAATAAGTATTCCCTTAAATTTCCAACTTGGAAATTCTATCTATTCTGTAATTTCAGAAGAAATGGATGACTAAAGACCTTCTAAAACATAGTCTGCCTCTGTATTTTAAATGCATTTTTCACCTGGGCGTAGTGTACTCCTGTAACCCAGTGTCCAGGAAGCAGAGGCAAGGAGGATAACCGAGCCTTAGAGACAGCTGGGCCTCTGTATCAAGAGAATGTTTCCCCTAAATTTTATTTAAATTTCATAAGTAAATACTGTTTTTAATAAATCTACAAAGACTTAAAAATGTGTTTACCAAGTGGTAGGTTCACGTTTATTCTTAACTTAGGAATTAAGTGTCTGGGTAGCCAGAAGACAAGCTTAGGTCCTAGATGTCTGCGTTTTAATAGTGATTTCTGGAAGAGAAGACTACAGTGGTCTTCAGTCTTAGGTCTCTTAGTTTTAAGATAATATTAAACACAAACTTGCCCATTACAGTGACAATTTTTATATAATGTGTTAGTGACTTTTAAATAGCACAGTTTTGTTCTAAACCATAAAAATGTGGTGGCTCATGCTAAATGTATTGCACAATTAAGTTCAAGGCGAGCCTAGTTTATTAATAGAAACTTTTTAAAAGTTAATAATGAATAAATAACTAGGATAGGCCATCATGAAGGCAAGGATACTTATTTAAGGGAATAAACGTTTGTTGAGACTTAACAAGATCTTAAGTATTCCTCTAAGTTTTTTCCCTGAATAAAAATGTTCTGCAAGGTCTCAGGCCGATGCTGTTTGCTTAGTTACTCCCACATGACCAGCGTTGCAGTCTTAGGGATCACTGTCAGATGTGACTTTCATTTCCATAATTAGGAGAACATAATGTATTCAAACCAGGCAGGAACTTCAAAGTAGCCCTTTCTGTACATCATAGGTGTACAAATAAAGAAAGGTGATGGAATGATTAAGTGAAAAAAACTTTGTAGGTGTTATGCATATTAATGTCATTTGAACAAAGGTGTCATGAAAATCATCACCTGTGCTGACTGTGCTTTAATAAATGGGTGGAGTGCTCCAGTACAGCGCTACAAATTCTAAACTGTCAGTACTGAGAATCCGTGCTTAGCAACTCTTAGAGCTGATTGCTACACAGAACAACTCAGTTCTTCCTAATTGACTTTTCCATGCTCTCTACCCAGCTGCCTATAGCTGTAATTTATGCAGCACTTTTAGCACTGCTTAGTTTCTATTAAGACATTGGAGTTTGTTGCTTAGTTGGGCTTCTGGTCAGACTGTTAGATCTTTCTCAGTTTTTTAGCTTCTGCACCGATGTCCTATTTGCCCACATTGGTGTTTCTGAGAGAGAGTGAAGAAAACAAATGTCTTTAGAAACGTCTTTTTTGTTTTGTTTTGTTTTGTTTTGTTTGTTTTTCGAGACAGGGTTTCTCTGCAGCTTTGGAGGCTGTCCTGGAACTAGCTCTTATAGACCAGGCTGGTCTCGAACTAGAAACTTCTTAATGTACACATATTATATTCATTCCAGTTCTACATTTACTTCCAGAAATAAAACTGTGCTGAAAACTGTGCTTGGAATCTTGGCAGTTATTAAAAAGGCTAGTGTCTCCAACCTGTCCATTCCTTAAATATGGACTATAAAATCTGGTCTTAATTTTTATGTAGTAGAACAAATTATAGTTGTTCATTTGGAGAAATGCATCATTAGCTATGTGTCTTTGTCATGTACTAAATACATTTTATTGGATGGTGTTTATATACTAGCCAGTGACTCTTTGCTACTTTAGCTAAGACAGAATCTTTGGGGATTAAGTGGTAGCTTTTCCATCACATTTAGCAACTTCTGAATGTTCTTTGTCATTTGCTACCATAACTGTAGAAATACTACTATAATTCTGTCTGTAATAGATAGCCAAATTATAAAAATAAACACACCACATTTGGAAATAATTATATAGAATCATTAATGTTAAACATCATTTGTCTTATCTGGAGATATTTTAGGTGATTTATATTTAACAGTAGCTACTATAAATTTGTCTTTTTGCAGGATTACTAACCTGGCAGTGTAAATGTGGATATAAATTTGATTTTTGTGTGTTTTTGTTGGGGTGTGGTGATATGCTGAAAGTTAAACTCAGGGCCTCATTCATATTAAGTGAGTGATTTAAGAGATGATTTTTAAAATAACTCATTGAGAAATATGTTTTTATTTTTTTTGACATGTGTTCATCTCTACCTTAGAAATAAAGTGACTGTGTCTTCACCTTTACTTTCAGTCTCTGACATTAAGGCTTCAGGACTATCCATCCTTGTCACATATTGTGGTCTATGTACCATCTGTCCATGGAAGTAAGGTAACATATCTTAAGGTTTTTTATTGGAAAGCATGGGGGATACACATGTGTAACTTTTTTTTTAATGATTTCTGAATAGGTACAGGCTTATCTAAAATGGTGGCCAGTGGTGATCTACCTGATGTTAAGTCATTAGAATGTCCACTCACCTTGAACTAAGTAAAATAAATACAGGTCTTTTTTGTGCCTAACTGGTTCCAGTTTGTCAGTCTTTTGAAGCTATTTCTTGCTAGGTACCATTTTATGTACATGGCATTGGGAGTTAATAGGAAATATAGAAAGGACCCTCTATCATTGGTCATCCTGTTGTGTAAGGAGGAAAAAGAGTAACATCAGATAATGAGAAAACACAGGTTTTTAAAAATACATAGAATGCAAGTCAGAGTACAGTAAGTCCATGGAAAGTGCAAACCACAGTAATATCACTGAGTAATTCAGAATGTCTTTATCATGAGGTGATGATGAATGGAGTAATGGTGAATGAGGTGACAATGAATGACCTTAAGGTAGATTTAAGGACCTCTATGGGAAACAATAATATTCTAGATCAGTTCTGTCAAATCCCAAGTTACTACCATGTGTGGCTATTTAAATTTAAATCAACTAAAATAAAATTAAAAATCCAAATTTCAGTCTCTTTGTACTACACACATTCCAGAAACCCACTAATAAATGGCTATAAAAATCTGTCATCAACAGTTCTTTAAAACAAAATCAAAACAAAACAAAAAATAGTGAGTGTGAGAAAGCATGGTGTGGAGATTAGTGAATAAGTAAATAACTTTGAAAGGCTGTCCACCAGGGATAGAGTACTAGTGTGCAGAGGTGCAGGAAACCCGTCCTTGGCAGTGTTGTGGAACCCTCCATTGAAGCCGTGAACGGAGGCATAGCACCACTTCAGGGCTTGAGGGGTTCGTAGTGAGTGAGGTGGGCATGGGAATGAAAGTGTAGAGGGGAGAAGCCCCTGCTCCCCTTTCTCCTTTAGACCAGCAGATCCACCCTTCAAGGTCCAGCTCAACGCGGCTCCTTTCCTTTCCCACACTGCTCCCGCCATTCATGTGACACTTTCTGATGACTCTTTGAGGGATATTCATATTACTGTATGTTTTAAATTACTTGCAAATATCTTTATTGTCATCAGCATACTTTAAGCCCTGCGAATAACAACCAGATACATTTCCTCCCACTTTGTACCTCCAATCTGCAGTGATGACCACATCGAACAAACAAAAATGTAAAACAATTAGTAAAATTTAGAAGAAATTAGGAAAGGAAAAGGGGTGTAGCTGTGAATCATCTTGAAGACTGGTTTCACGGTCCCTGTATGGATAATTGTTTTGTTTTACTTAGCTTAAGGGAGGGGTAATTCATCATCTTAGATTCTAAAAGCTCTCTTTAAGGGTTTTTCTGTTAGGTAAGTTGGTTTTGAATGAATCTGACTTTTTTTTTTTGCTTTTACGAGACAGGGTTTCTCTGTATTGTTTTGGAGGCTGTCGGTCCAGCCTGGCCTCGAACTCACAGAGATCCGCCTGCCTCTGCCTCCCAAGTGCTGGGATTAAAGGCTTGCGCCACCACCGCCCGGCGAATCTGACATCTTAAAAGCCTTAAAGGTTATACCAAGCAGTCAGTGAGCCTTTCCATAAATAGATAGTGCGGCAGACTAATACATACACATAGTACATCTTAGTACTCTTTGGAAAGTAGCACTGTTTGCTGTGCTGTTGCTTGCTTTCTCCACTGGAGTGATCATTTAGATCTTTGACTTTTGAACATCTGTGCACAGCCCAGCATCAGAAATCTGCGTATAAAAAGCGCAGTCAACAGATAGCTTTATGATTTGGGAACTACAGTGTGGAAATGGCTGCATTTCCCCCATGATCAAAAACAAACAACAAGCCCAGAAACTGACCAGCTTTGGAAATGTTAGAGAGAGACCTTTGGGTTCTGCTTTCTGAGTTAAGGATTTGTTTCACTATGCAAAGCTAAGAGCACAGCCAAATTTTGAAATTAAAAAAAATATTATTTTAATACCTTTAGATAAAATGATTGAAATTACTTTTAAAAACTGCTTCACTATCTCATGAGTCACCCAAAACACTTTGTTAAAATATGAATAATCCTGGTCAATAAATTATGTCTAGTCTTTGAGTAGCTGCTTTCTGTAGTGAAAGGAATTCTTCTTTGGCTTGTGAGAGGGAATGAAGGTAATACTCAGCACAGTGGTTTTTCTTTCTGTGCACCACACACGCAGACAAGTCTAGTAGAAGTCTCCTTCGCCTGTTTTCCAATTAAAAATAATTGGCAGTCCATCTGTGGACAAAGGAATAACATAGCTGAGATATCTAAGGTACAGTTGTCACAAAAGCCTAGGATGGACGCTGGTGGCGTTCCAGAAGCTGTCCCTTCTGCACATAGCCAAAACAGAGCTTCCTACACATGTCTAGAAATATTATTAAAAAAAGAAATGCTGTCAAAGTATAAATTGTAGTGGCTAGGTTTCCTTTTGTGAAAAATATACTTTTTCCTAAGTGAGAACATCTATTATCCATTTTCTGTAATAACTGACTGATCTTTAATGTTCTCATATAAACAGCATTAGCTATAGATGAGTGACTGACTACAAATGCCTTTTATAGCCTGATTAAACTATAGATATTTAAAAACTACCAGATTTAATAAAAAAACTCATAAGTAACAAAATTACATTTCCCTTTTGACTAGGAAAGTACTCAGAGACATATAAAACCTTAATTAATCTTAAATTATCTTTGCATGTCAATGCTTTGATCTATCCTTCCTCTGAAACACCTGATGTTGTAATATAGCCTCACAATTAATTTGTTACAAAAATGGTCTTGATTAAGAAACTGCTTACATAGTCTTCTCAGTGTAGCATCTGCTTAAGGAATTCTTGCCAGAGCTACAGTATAATCAGTGGTGCTTTCTCCAAAGCTACGGTTTATTTTCCACACAAACATCACTAAGGTGAATTCTGTGTTTTCTAATAAATCAATGTCATATCTCAGTTTGTCGTAGACTGTGAATTCTTTAAAAAAGAAACAAGATCCATACCGCTTCCTGTGACTCATCTTTTTTCCTTTGGTAAGTATTTTGTTTTTGAAGCTTAAGCATAGCTTTCAGCAGTGCAACTTACCTTGCCAGTCATAGAATATTAAATATTAGTATGTGTCAAGTATAGTTCTTAGGAAACGGTGTGGTCGGGTTCAGTGGGCCAGCCGTCAGCTCCTGAGAAGTGAACTTAGAAGGGGTGTTTCTTAGTTACTTTTCTATTGCTGTGATAAGACCATGACCAGGGCAACTTATAAAACAAAGACTATAGCTAGAGGACATAGTGGGAAAGCAAAGGCATGGAGGGCGGAGCAGCTGAGAGCTCACACCCTGACCCCGAAGAAGGAGGCAGAGAGACACTAGGAACCACAGCAGGCTTCTGAGCCCTCAAAGCCTGCCCACCTGACATACTTCTCCAACAAGACCATGCCTCCTAACCCTTCCCCTCTTCTCCCACACATGAGCTCTGGGGCCTTTCTCATTCCAAATCTCCTCTGTGTTTTCCCATAATTACATAAACTTGCGGTGACCACATGCTTCTATATATGTAGAGCACTGTGTGCAATTTTTACTAATACTGGCACATTTTATAATTTTTTTCACAGAACAAGCTTTGATTTTTATTAAACAAGTCTCATTTATTTCTCTTTCTGATTTCCGTACTTGTGCCTTCTGCACTGTCATAATGGTTTTTCTTCTCATCAATAGAAATCACATGGTTCTGTCATGGGCACACAGTCTATCTAAATTGTTGTCTGACTTATTATGAATGTTTCATGACTATATGTTATTAGTTTTTTTATGTGTATGGGTGTTTTGCCTGCCCGTGTGTGTGTGTGTGTGTGTGTGTGTGTGTGTGTGTATTATGTATGTATGTATGTATGTATGTATGTATATATACATTATGTGTGTGCAGTACCTGTAGAAGCCTGAAGAGGGCATCAGAGCCCCTGGAACTGGACTTAGAGATGGTTGTGTGCCACTGTGCCATTGCTGGGAATTGGTTGGATGGGTCTTTTGGAAAGCAGGCAATACTGTTAACCATTGAGCCATCTCTCCATGCCCCAAATAAATGTTCTTATAAGATTTATTTTGAAAGAATTTTACACCTACAGTTGCTACAAAAGAGTACAGACTTCCTTTATATCCTTTACCGATCTTTCCCTGATGATGACCTCTTACAAAAATATAATATTTTATTTTCTTGTGTTTTTGTTTGTTGGTTGGTTGGTTTGCTTGTTTTTACAGTGGCTTGCTATGTTGATCAGGCAAACTTGTGACTCTCCTGCTTCAGCCTCCTGAGGGCTAGGGTTTTAGAAGCTTCTCTAACGCATTTGCTAACACAATCTTTTTTTTTCTTATTTTAATTATCCGTGTGTGTATGTATCTGTATCTAGGCTGCGCACCTGAGTGTAGATGCCTGCTGAGGCTAAAGGTGTTGGATTCCCCTGGAGGTGGAATTAGCTGTGATGTGGAATCAAACTCTGCAAGAGCTGTGTGTGCTCTTGAACACTGAGCGATCTTCAGCTCCACAGTGGAGTTTTAACTCTTAATTAGTATTGGTACAATATCTAATAACCTGAACAAGCCTCATTTATTGCCAGTTTTGCTTCTGTTCCTCGTCTAGGGACCTCCATTGGGTTTGGTTGTGTTTCCTGTAACTCATGTCAGTACCCCAGGCTTCCTGTGGCCTCTATCACTTTGAAACATTTCAAGGGGACTCAGTAACTTGTATAATACCCTTCATTTGAATTTGTTTAATATTGTGACATTTTCAGGTTGAGCTTATGTATTTTTGCCAAGAACACCACAGAACTCATGTGCCTTCCTCATGTGTCAGGATGTGCGATGTTAATAAATCTAATTACTGGGTGTTAACTTTGACATTTAGTTAATTAAAGTGTACGGTACCTGGCAGATTTCTCTACTATGCAGTTACTGCTTTTCCTTGACCATTAATAAATATCTTGGAGGAAAATTTGAAAAATATGCAACTCATTACTTTTAGCATGCAATGGGTCACTTATTCTTTAGCAATTAATTAATACTGCATTCTTCATTTATTGAAATCCTATCTGACAGAGGCCAGAGCTGATCCTGGCAACCTCTGAAACTGAGATCTCACATGAGCATTCAATGTACATTTGCTTTGCTTTTGATTGTAAGCCCAATTTAAAAGAAATGATTGAAGCTAAAAAAAGAAAGGAAGAAAGAAAGAGAGAAAGAAAGAAAAAGAAATCCTGTCTGAGATAGAGTTGCCTCATCTGTCTTATTTATTCATATTTTTAAAGACAATATATATATTGGGTAGAGGCCTGCCTCGGTGGAGTGGTTCTTTAGTGTGCATATTTTATTCATGGCATTATAACATAATATTAGTGTTAGACATGCTCTTGCTTAAATCATTCCAGCTTCGGCTTTTAGGAGCTCTTTTAGCTTGGTTACTGTACCTTTCACTAAGCTAAATCTTTCATACATGTAACCACACATGTGCACACACATGTATATGTATCCCTTTCATGAAAATAAATCAGTGTTGCTTGTGATAGAAAACTTCCTTTCATGTTTTTTTCTCCTTCCTCCATCTGGCTCCCTGTTTTGGGGTACAAAAAGCCCAGGAAAATGCAGAAGTAACAACCCTGAATTACCTGTGTCAGTTAAATAGCATGCTTTAAAAAACAAATCTTCTAAAATTAGAAATAAGCATTTGACTTTTAAAAATACCTTCAGCATCAGGAAGTATTATAAGTACTGTTTTATTCAGAATTTTCTGCACAAGAATTTGATATAGTTGCTTCCTATATATCAGCAGTGGAAAACCTGTTCATTTATGTTTTAGACAGTCTGCCTTGTAGCCCAGATGACTTCAGTTCAGCATGCAGCCTCAGCTGGCCTTCAGCTCACCACCCCCACTCATACATGACCACCACTGACGAACTTTCTCCCAGTTTCAAAGTTTTGTTGTTAATTTTAAATGTTATTTAAGAAATCAGCCCAGTTTTGAAAATTCTCTGGTTTCTAAATAATGCAGTACTTTTAATTCAACAGGATTGTCTTCAAGGAAGGCAGTATTAAATGCAAACGGCCTGTACTACAATATAGAACTTCTGAACTTTGGACAGGTAATTTCTATGAATAGAAAAGGGAGAATTTCATCTTCTTTTGCTATTTCATTAAACAAATAAACTTTGGGTTTTTGTCTTTGTCAAACTTTATCAGATATACCAAGGTTTTAAAGTCAACGTGGTAAGCAAGTGCTCTGCAAGCAAAGGTAAGTTATAACATCGCATTTGAAGAGCAAGCAAGTTGCTGTGATGTTTCTAGAAGCTTATTTCATCTCTTTTCTTTCATATATTTTATATAAATACATGGCATTGGAAAATATTTCTGTTTTCAAGGGATTTAGCAAAGACTCTTTCTTAATAGTAAACCATATTTATGGGTTTAAAAGTACTATATTTTGCCTGGCGGTGGTGACACACATCTTTAATCCCAGCACTCCGGAGGCAGAGGCAGGTTGGATCTCAGTGAGTTCGAGACCAGCCTGGTCTACAAGAGCAAGTTCTAGGACAGCCTCTAAAACCACAAAGAAACCCTGTGTTGAAACCGCCCCCCAAAAAAAGTACTATGTATTTTGGGATGGGTGAGATGGTTCTGTAGATAAAGACCTGATTTCATTTCCTAGAACTCATGTAAAGGTGGAGGAAATGAATGACGCTATGAAATCTCTCTGACCTCCACACAACCATGTGTGCATTATACACAAGCATAATAGAAATCTTAAAGTTTTAAAAAGTTAGAGTCCTGTAGATCTTTATGTCTTCTTACAGTAGCAATTCAGGTTTACCTCTTTAATTTTGTTTTAGATTTTTAGTACTACTCATATACCTTAATATCTTTTATGAGCCTGATGTTCAATAATCCTTTTCGTAAAATGGGCAGTTTGTATGTAATAGTAGTTTTATAGTTTGTGCACAAGTTAAGATAACACACAGTAATGCTTCTCCCCTTTGTTTCCTAACAGAAGAAATAACTAGTATCTACAAACTTCATATTCCCTGGTCTTATGAAGATTCTTTAACCATTGCACAGTAAGTATATGAAAGAATTTACTTTCAACATGGTGTTTTAAAGTAGAGTCTGTACTTAATTTGTCATATGCATTATTAAAGTTTCTTTTAGTACAATCACTGTATGTGCCTTTTAATGTCATGCCCATTACTTAAGATGCATGTGCAACATCTATTTAAAAAAATCAAGCACTTAAGTCTTGCTTGAAAATGAATTTTTTTTTTGGTTTTTTGAGACAGGGTTTCTCTGTAGCTTTGGAGGCTGTCCTGGAACTCACTTTGTAGACCAGGCTGGCCTCGAACTCACAAAGATCCGCCTGCCTCTGTCTCCCGAGTGCTGGGATTAAAGGCGTGCACCACCAACGCCCCACAAAAAATGAAATCTTATTAAAATTAATTTTTATTTAAATTAGAAACAGTCTTATTTTACATACCAATCCTGGTTCCCTCTGTCTCCCGTCCTCCCATTCCCCCCACCAAACCCCTGTCCCACCCCATATTCACTCCCCAAGGAGGGTGAGGCCTCCCACGGGGGATTTCAAAGTCTGTCACATCATTTGGGGGAGGATCTAGACCCTCCCCTGTGTATCTAGGCTGAGAGAGTACCCTCCGCGGGGAGTGGGCTCCCAAAATCCATTTGTGCGCTGGAGATAAATACTGGTTCCACTGCCAGAGGCCCCATAGACTGCTCAGGCCCCCTTACTGACACCTACATTGAGGGGGCCTGGTTTAGTCTTATGCTGGTTGAAAAAAAAAAAAAAAGGAAGAAAGAAAGAAACTGCCGTGAATGAAAGTGTCTACTCGTGATACTGCTTCTGTCATTTATCGTCCTCTGCATTAGTTCATTATGTTGTGCTGAGAATTATGTTAGCCAGAACTGTTTACCAGAATCTTATGTTTAAGGATTGATATTTCAATAATCTCTTCAGGGTTCCATCTTCTACAGAAATTTCTCTGAAACTTCATGTTGCTCAGCCAGAAAATGACACCAATGTGGCATTGTTAAAAATGTACACATCGTCAGACTGTCAGTATGAGGTAAGACATATATTTGCACCATTAAGTATGGTTTAATTATAGACAAGTAGAGGTCTTTTTTCTGTTAGCTGCAGATACATCACAATGTGGAAGCCCATACATATGAGATATTAAGCTTAAATGTTTTCCACTCTGCTTGTTTACCATATTTTAGTATTTCTATAAACAGACAGAGCATGTGAGCGTTATATAAGAGAAGAGGAAACTTATTATTCTAAATAATTAGAATATTATTATTCTAAATTTTAAATTTATTCAATGGTTATTCTAAACTTTGAAGCCCAGAATCAAGACTCTTTCATAAATTGAAAAGCTTTGTTTAATAAGCTGCCATGCTTTCCTATAGTAATAGACAAGTATTGGTTTGTACCAGTACTGGTTAGTGTAAGGATCTCACCTTTTACTACTTTTCAAGATCTGTTTGCTTTTCTGTGGTGACGTTACTACTCTGGCTTATGTGAATTATCTTAATCCTGGTTGGCCTCCATAAGTGTTTGGACTTTCTAATAGGAATCACTTCATTAGGGTAAAACGAGATAGCAGACTGCTGCCATCTGGTCTTATGACCAAGTTTCAGGTGTACCTATATAATGAATTAATTTGTATCTCAGGGAATCCATGGATGGATGATATTTTGTAGTCTATTTCTAACAGTGAGGGATATTGCAGGTCTACTGTGTTTCTCAGTTTGCAACTTTGTGTTTCTAATATTAAAATGATAAGGGTTGTATTGTCTTGGGAGACAGAGGCAGGTGGATTTATGTGAGTTTGAGGCCAGCCTGGCTGACATAGTGAGTTCCAGGCCAACCAGGGCTACAAGGTAAGAACCTGTCTCAAAAAAAATATTCTATCGGTTTGACTTCAAATACTATATTCTTGCTAAATGTCCATGTTTTTTTGAAAATCAATATTGGTTTTTTTCAAGGAGTCTATATTTTGTCAAGGCACAGCCATGTTGTATATAACTGTTATAACTTCCTTACTAAAGGGTTCCTTTTCATAGATTTCTTAGTGTCTATTATATATTAAGGATGAG